TTCATGAACACGAGAGTGTATGTCTCAGGTTTTTAAACAATTCGTTTTTACCGAAATACTTTATATGCCAAGTGATTCACCGAGTTCCCGAAGTCCGACTATCACATACCGGTATAATTATTATTATTAATTTTAATTAAAATATTTTTTCCCTAAAACCAAATATTCATAGTTTAGTTAAACAATTGCAACATTAGATCGTATGCGATTGATCCTCAGTCTCTGTGGGTTCGATAATCATTTAAAACTAGAACGACTAAACTGTATACTTGCAGTTAGTATCCCGATAGACTCATAAAGTCCCGATCAGTGTGATATTCCCAAGTAAATGAATTGTTACTCGAGTATGGGAAAATATGTTCATGATGTGTGACATTTATAGAAACAAAAACTTCATGATTGTTAATATCATATAGCACAACACCCTTCATACCATTTTTGTATCCTAAAAAGACATATTTCCCGCCTCTTGGTTCAATTTTAGTTCTATGCATATGAAGAGTTAACGCATATGCCAATGAGCCAAAAACTTTAAGACTGTTTATGCCAGAAATCTCATTATGCATTATGAAATGAGGTGAAAGATTATCAAGAACTTGTGTAGGAAGTTTACTTATAATAAAAGTGGCATGTAAAATAGCATAAGATCAAAATTTCTTTGGAAGTTTTAACTAAAAAAGGAATTCTCTACCAACATTTAAGAGGTGTTGATGCTTCCTCTCCACTCTACCATTTTGCTATAGAGATTGAACACAAATTATTTCGTGTAAAATGAATTTGGATGTATAAAAAACAGGCATACTAAATTCAAGACCATTATCAGTTCTAATGATATTGACATTAGTGCCATGTTGATTTTCAATGAGTTTACCAAAATTGATAATATGTTGTCTAGCTTCAGATTTAATTTCATAAGTGTTATCCATCTGTATCTGCTGTAATCATCGACTGCAGTTAAGAAATATGTATGACCATGTAAATACTTGATAGCAAGAGGTCGCTAAATTTCAAAATGAACTATATCATAAGGGTGAGCTACTCTAGTATTGCTAACAATATAAGGAAGTTTTCTTTATCTAGCATAATGGTACACATCACAAACATCTTTATTATTAATTGTGATCAAAGGAAATTGTGAATGTAAGTACAATAGCCTATTTTGTGATAAGTGCCCTAATCTAAAGTGCCAACAGACTCTATCAGGTAAAGCTACATTGGCTGCTAAAACAAAAATATTTTCAACATTAACATGTAAATCATTATCTCTCAGTATTAAGTAATATAAAAAATCCTTCTTTTCAGCAAAACCAATCATCTTCATTGAGGTTTTGTCATGTATAACACATTTGGAATCAAGAAATTTGACATTACATTTGGAAGATTCACACAGTTTTGAAACAAACAATAAATTTAACGAAAATTCAGGAATCAATAAAACATTTGAAACATTAAATTGAGGGGAAAATGGATTGTGCCAGAGTGTTTGGCAACTAGACATTGTACATTTAGCAATTTAACATTAATTGGGATGATTTCTCTATAAGAGTGAAACTATTTTATGGAACTCCATATATGATCAGTAGCACCTAAATCAATAATCCAAGACCCTAGACTTCTATTATGCAAAATGTGATACATGTTACATGTTGATGAATGACCAACAATAACCTGATTGGAAGAAGCATGTCCTGAAACTTGGCCAATGCTAGATTTCTGAAATAGCTCCATTAACACAGTGAATTGACCTTGAGTCATCAGTGAATTGTCATCTTTTATGCTAATACTATGAGGGAGAGATCCATCACCATTTCCATTTGATGTGATGCTGTTTGCTGCATTTGGAAATTACTTTTGTGTATGGGGCGGAACACCATGCTTCTTGAAGTAGTTTTCCATAATGTGGTTAGTTTTACCATAGAATGTGCACACACGAGCTCCATGTTTGAAAGAATTTGGTCAAGATCCAAACTTCTTAGAATCAATATCATTTAGCAAAGCCTGAGACTCATCATTTGGTATATGCAGCTAGGGGTGTTCGCAGTGCGATTTGAGCGGTTTTGAAGTAAAAAATCACCCAAACCGCAAGAGAGAAAAAACGTGTGGTTCGGTTGGCTTTTAAAAATAAAATTAAACCAAACAAAACCAAACTAATGCGATTTAGATTGGTTCGGTTGGTTCGGTTTTTTACAAAAAAATTATTGAGCCATACATACACATGTGGAGAAAAATGTAATTTTGTATTTAATTGTTCATACATTACCATAAAAAAAATGTATAATTGTCAAAAAAAATTTATAATTTAATACATAAAATTGCGTATTATAATTTTATCTAAATTTAAAGAATGATATATATATATAAGATTTCATTCTTAAATAAATATTATACAAAGAATACGATAAAATATATTTTATGAAAACATTATTTATAAATGAATAATATTTTATTTTTTATGATTTGTAAATTCTAATAAATATCATACAAAGAAAATGATAAAATATACATGTTGATTTCTATAAAGAATTAAAGAAATATATATTGGTTAGTAAGATTTTATAACATTATGGGGTTTAGTTTGGTTTGGTTTAGTTTACAAAATAAAAACCGCAAGTCAAGCCGAACCGCGTGGTTCCGTTAGAAAATGACCCAAACACATCCGAACCAAATACGGTTTTTTGTAGTTTAGGTTTGGTTCGGTTCGGTTACGATTTTCTATTGGGCCGGTTTGGTTTTGAATACCCCTATATGCAGCTGTAGTTGTCATTCATGTTGGGTAACCATAGAAAATATATTGTTTATAGGAGGCAGGGGATCCATTAACAAAATTTGCGATTTGACAACAACAAATTGATCATCCAGCCTAGTTAAAAAATAGATAATATGCAACAATTGATGATTAGATTTAGCATTACGCATAAATGTGCAAACATTTTATACGACATGTGCACATTTGTAAAGATGAGTATAAATCTAATTCTTCCCTAAAAATCTTGAGATCAGAAAAAAATTCAGTTATCGATTTTGTTTCTTACTTGAGATTGTAAATTTCTTGCTACAATTCAGATATACGAATGAGATCTCCTTGAGAGAATCTTTCTTTTAGATTGTTCCACACATCAACAATATTTTCCATGAAAACGATCGATTGAGCAATTGAATATGAAACCGAGTTCACGATACAAGAATGAACTAACATGTTGCAGTGATTCAAAGAACGCACTGAAGGATCAAAAGAATCATATGGAACTAGGAGAGATCCATCAATAAACTCGATCTTCATCTTGTCACTAAGCGCCCTCTTCATGGATTGAGCCCAAGAATGGTAATTGGAACCAGTGAGTTTGGGAATAATGGTGATGGAGTCGGTACTATCACTGAGATGAACGAAGAAAGGAGATGTTTGATCCATAACAGGATCAAGCAATGGAGGTCTCAGAGGAGCCATGAAAAGAGATGAATGTTCAGGTGAAGAACAATGGAAGTAGGATCGAAATGACAATTGATACCATATTGTGATGAAGCATATTAGTCATGAATAAGAAGAAGAATGGAGTGAAAGCTGGAAATCAATAGTAATGCTTCATTGAATGCTTAGAGAATAGTATGAGTTTATATACATTACACTTTGGTCCATAGGAATTAGAGGCAAGAAAAATACAAAACTGATCTCTAACAAACTAATCATGAGCTAGCTATTTTAACTAACAACTAATAACAAATCTACAAATCTAACCAATCAGTTTTTGTGTAATTAATTAAACTAATTAAGAGATTAATTAGATAATCACAACATAAACATTTCTTAAGCGTATCCCTCATCGGCTAAAAAAATGAGGTGAAATTCCCACTACATTACCTTCTTTCTCTTTTAGTTATAGCCATTTAAAGTTCACCCGTAATAAAAATTTGGGTTAAATAAGTTTTTGGTCCCTCTAAATATCTCAAATTTCGTTTTTAGTCCCTCTAAAATTTTTCTTCAAAGAATGGTCCTCCTAAAAAATTAAATTTTAACTTTTGATCTCTCGTGCAATTTAACGACGATTTTTACAAGTTAGTGGCGGTTTTAACGACAGTTTTTATTTTAGCGACGAAATTAGAGACTATTTTAGCTACGATTTTGTCAGGAGGGACCAAAAGTTAAAATTTAATTTTTTAGAAGGACCATTCTTTGAAGGAAAAATTTAGAGGGATTAAAGACGAAATTTGAGATATTTAGAGGGACCAAAAACTTATTTAACCCTAATAATTTTAATAGTATTTTCAAACATAAGTGAAATAAAGAATACCCAGTAGAGGCACGTGTGACAATGACACATGTGTCAATGGCGATATAATTGCATTACTATATGTAGAAATCACAACATCATCGTAGGTGTGTCTACTCAATCTAGGACAAACAATTTGAAATTAGACCCGTAATGTTGATTCTTCTTGTACTCCGCCTTGAGTTTTTCTCTTTGATGCTTGAAATTGAAGTCTTAGCCATTATTTGAGATACTTATAAGATTGTTAGAAAATTAACTCAAGTCAAATGGATTGAAGTTAGAATCGTGAACGAAATCACTTTCCTTATATGTATTTCAAGCACTCTCAAATATGTCTTAGAGTTGGAACACATAAATACTCAGGAAAATTCAGTATTTTATCGAGTTTTCGCAAGACTGATGAAAACTCAGATGTAGTGAAGAATGTCTAGAATTTTTGGTGAAGAGGGTGTACGTTTACATAATGTAATTTTCTAAATCCAGAATGCTCAATTTATAGGTCAAGCTGGTGTTGTTTCATAAGGTTGTGACCCTTGATGAAACACACACTTTAAGCAACACTTTTGCAAAGTGTCCACTGTTTCGCCTACAACAACACTTCTCAAACTTGCAATATTTTGCCTACAACATTTTTCAAAGGTTGTACTGTTTCGCATTTTGTAACATTTCACAAAGTGTTCTATTGCAGAATTCAAATTACAAACTGCTTGATGCAACACTACCTAACTGCCTACCCTACCGGCTACCAGAAAGTGTAAAAGACGAAACATACCCACCGTCCACGTCATCACCGACCGACGACGTCGTATACAAAAAATCCTTCTTTTTCACCCCAAACCCATCAAGCTCCGGCAACGTCACTTCCCCCTCTAAATACCCAACCACCTGCCTCATCGTCGGCCTCCTCTCCGGCGTCTCCTCCGAACACATCAAACCCACCTTGACCACCAACAAAACCTCCTCCATATCATAAACCCCACCCATCTTACAATCCACAACCTCCTCCACCACCCCCAACCTCCACCTATCCCAAACCCAATCCACCAAAACCAGCTCCTCCGGCAACGCCTTCGCCTCTATAGGCCTCCTCCCACAAACCACCTCCAACAACAACGCACCAAACGCAAACACATCAGACCTCTTCGTCGGCTTCCCCGTCCTCGTTAACTCCGGCGCTAAATACCCCAAAGTCCCAACCACCCTTGTTGTGTTCGGATTCTCACCACGATCATAAAGCTTCGCCAAACCAAAATCACCCAACCTCGCATTCATCTCACAATCCAAAAGCACATTCCCAGCTTTCACATCTCTATGAATCACCGTCTGTTCACATTCCTCATGCAAATAAACCAACCCCAATGCCACACCTTTTACGATCCTAAACCTCTCTTCCCATTTCAACACTCCTCTCGGTTCTTCAAATATATACTTATCCAAACTCCCATTTTTCATAAAATCATAAACCAATATCAAATCATTACCCTTCCGACACCAACCTAGTAACTCTACTAGGTTCCTATGTCGGAGTTTACCAATGGTTTCGATCTCCGAGATGAACTCTTGTAACCCTTGTTTTGATTCATGGGAGATTTGTTTCACAGCGATTTCTGTTTTGGAATTTGGTAACACTAACACCCCTTTGTAAACTCGACCAAAACCTCCAAATCCAATTAGGTTCTTGTCCTTGAATCCTCCTGTTGCTTGATTCAGTTCTTTGTAAGGGAATCTATGTGGACCCACTTCCAGTTCCCAAGGTTCTATAACATCATCGTTTCTCATCTTAAAGTAGAGAGATAAACCAATTGTTATGACTATTAGAATCACAAATGAAATAGAGAGACCCAAGATTGTGGCTTTTCCAGTTTGAGTAGTTTTGTTGGACTGTGAAGAGAGTGAAGGAAGATTGTTCAAAGATAGTGTTTTCGATTCTCCATTGATTTTTAAGCTCCAACCTAAGATATAGTGTGTGCTAGAGAGTAACCCTGTTGAAGAAGAAAACCCAACATACATAGTTTCTTTGAAAATCGGTGTTAGATCTACTTGGTATGATAAGATTGGTGAAATGGGTTTTGATGAAAATGGAGAGAGTCTAACTTCAAGTTGATTCATTGAGGAATCGTAATCGATCCATGCTTGAATTACACTACCACTCTTCAAATTGAGGTCTTGAACTTGTGTATTCATTGACCCATCAGTAAAAAAACATGCTTTGACTGATTTATTTGATACCATGTTGTTCAGGTTGATACCAACATGGTTGTCATTGATGTCATTGAATTCGAAATCTTGTACCGTGTCGAATTCAACTGCGAATATGTGGTTTGAGAAGTTGCCTAAATCTTTTGGGTTGAGAAGGCCTAAGTACTGACTAGGATAGCCATTGGAGAGTTTATTGGAAGGAGAAACGGTGAAAGCGAAGCCATGACCTCCTAGTTTTGGGTATTGAGGGATTATTGCAAAAGCAAAAGAAGTTGAAAAGGAGAAAACTCTGTGTTTGTGGTTGGTTGAGTTGTTTTTGTTTTTGAAGTTGATTGGGGTTGAATAGAAAGCATGACCAATTACTCTTTCAGTGTCGTTTGTTAAACGAAGTGTGCCTTTGTGTTCAATCACTGCACCTCCGTTTAAGGTTATGTTGGTGGTAGCTTCATTGAATCCTGCAAAGAAAAACTCATCTCGCTGAGAATAAGATTGTATGGAGTTTGAGGCTAGAAGGGTCAATATACTGAGAAGAAACAGAGGTGTTTTTGCCATGATTTGAAATTGAAAATCACACGGTAGCATTGTTTGTATATATGTTGTTTGTTTAGATGAAGAGAATGTTGACCCTTTGAGCAACCAGAGAGAGTGCGGTGTGCTTTACAGCTTGTTGCTTGTTTGTTTAATTAATCACGTGGGTTAGATAGGATGCATCATGGTTGCACATATTACTTTTTTTTCCAATGTTTTAAACGGTTTAATACGGCTGCGAGAAAATGGTATCATTAACAACGGTTTAATTAATCAATTTAACCTTGTTATTCACATTTTTTACAATGAAAAAGAAATTGTGTTACTTTGACAACTATAGTCAATATCACAACATATGTATCAATCGAAACTGCGAAATTTTTTATGCGAAGACTGTTGTTATTTAAAACTCAGTTTTTTTCTTCTATTTAACAATTGAATGTGGATAGTATGTGATGTCAAACGATTCTTTTTTATTCTTGTACATTTGTATAGAGTGGAACCTTGTTGGCATGCTTTAATTAGGTGTTTCAAGAATGATTAAAAAATTAGTATGAGTCAAGAGTCAGCATCAACTCGGCATGATAAGTTGCCACTTTGAGTGTTTGTATTATGCATTTCTCTAAGTGACACAATCAATTCCTGAATTTGTAGGTAAAGTAACATGCCGGTATGGTATGGATATGTTTGACACTTTGGGAATATATTAAAATTTTTATTGAAAGTCAAGGGAAGTGGAAGCTCACTGCAATTTTACATTCTATATTCGAAGGGAATTAATTATCGCTTTGATTTTTTTTAACACTATTGTGCTGCGTGCTCAGGGTTAGATCGAATCCAAAATTTCCTTGAATTTTATTATATAATTAGGATTAGGCAACTAAAATAATAGAATATAGAAAATAAAGAAATCAAAGGTGTAATAGGCAGAAAGAGAAAGGCACCAAATACAAATTTAACATTGTACATATAACAAAATTACACAGAAAGACACTCCAAAAAGGGAAATATTATAAAATCATCTCAAACTTGGAATCTTTTCCTTCCACCTAAATGATACATTGAGAATGTTACAAGCACGTGCCATGACAACTTCAAGTAGTTGGATCAAAGTTTGAGGCATTTGAATCAAGAACAGAAACATGGCATACCTGCAAAGAAAACAGCAAAAGATTTGTAGACCAAGTTTGTCTAATTTTGATCAAATTGGAGTAACATTAAGGAAAACACAAACCTCCAACAAGGCCTCTTGTTTAGAAAGCTCCCCTTTTAATAGCATCTTGATTAGCATCACCAAGAGCAGCCTCATTCAAATACTTGTCTGCCAATTGGACTCTCTTGACATTCTCTTGTTCTTGGACAAGCATGCCACCATATTCCAACAGCTTTTCTAGTGTCATCTTTGGCTGCTCAAATTCTGGTGGTCCTTCCTTTGAGTTCACAAGCCTCTTTCCAATTCCTTCAATACCTATCCCAGAAATCCACTTCCTCACTTCGTCGTCATACACTCTAGCCCTCAATGCACCAAAGAAATCTGCACTAGCCGCACGTGAATGAGATAGTGTTTACAATGATTGTCAATATCAAACACACTGATGATAGATAAACAGATATATAGATAAAGATATATATAGATTACCAATGGATTGACCAGGGAAGGTGTCAACAAGCCTGACAATGTCCTCATTTTCAATATTGTCATGACGGAATATTCCGGTACAGACACCAATTCGGTCCTCTCTTGTAGGAGCCCAGTAGAATTTCTCCATACGTCCATCACGGATGAGAGGAGCATACAATGTTGAGAAATCGTTACCAGTGACGATGATGGGAACACGAGGATTCTCTTCCTTGTTGTACATACCAGGGAGTTGGACATTTGTGGGGTTATCAGCAATGTTCATGAGTGTGGCATTCACCATCTGGTTGTTGACAGTGTATTGGGTTGTTCCACCCATACGACCTGCTCCTGCATCAAGATCGTTGATGAACAAAGCACACATCTTTCCCTTCTTGATTAAGTCAGCAGCTTCACGGTATCGCTGTCTGATCAGTTTTGCTGGCTCTCCTGCATTTCCACTTTCAAGCTCTCCGGCACTCATCATGATTGGGCTGTAGCACAATTTCAACATCAAACAGACACGAGTTAGGTAGCGTAAGTATGGCGTAACAAGAAAGCATGTTCATAACTTGTGCATGAAATTGACTAGTGTAGTAAGAACTCACTTGATTCCCATCTTTGCAAAAACAAGCTCAGCTTGGAAAGATTTTCCCTGTCCTTTGCCTCCCCAGACACCAAGAATGAGAGGAACCTATAAAAACAAAAACAAAAATATTGAATATGTATCACAATTCTGCTAAAGTCATGTGTCTAATTTACATACCTTGATGTTTGGCAAGGTCATGAAATTTTTAGTGATATGAACAACAAGCTTGTCCATAAAAGCAGGAGCAATGTAAAAACCACTCATAGTGTTGTCAAAGTCGTACCTAAAACACATTCATCATCACAAATGTTAGACCAAAAGACTATTTTATTTGGTTTCGAATTCACAAAATGTGGAACAAGTCACTCACTGTTTAAGTCCGGTGCTAACGTATTCATAAGAACTCATGACTGCATAATGAGTTCCAGCATTTTGTGGAGCTTGGAAAACAGAATCAACCAAACCCTTTCCTCTGGTGATGTCTTGTTGGTCATCTGAAATATCATAGGCCAAACCCCTCCACCTGTCTCCGTCTGTCTGCTTTTCAGGGTCAATCTCTTTAGCAGCAAAAACTTTGAAACTTCCAGAAGAAACTTTAGTGTTTGGATGCCTTGAAGTAATCTTCTTCAAGCTTGTGCCGAAGAAAGATGAATTGGAAACTGAAGGTCCTGCTACTACTGAGCCATTCAAGCTCATCTGCAACATCACAGCATTTCATATTATTAACAATTCAGTTCTTCCAAATTACAATTACCTCTCCCTTTTTTCACTTTCTTATCTATTCTAAACCACTCTTTTTATAATGAAAAATTCAGGTGAGAAAATGTGCCCCAATTTAAGTGAAAAAATCTAGTAGATCATGACATAACGTGTATAGAAAAAATTTAAGACGCAAATTCTCATGATCCACTGGATCAAGTCCTTGATACTATCAAAGTCGTGAAGACCTTCTATAAGTTAACCATAGTTCAACCATGACAAAATAATTAAAGATCTTATTTATCTACGGTTTAATTGTGGCAAATACTTTACGAGATTATATTTAATTACGGTTTAACTGTGACAAAATTTAGAACTTGTGCAGTAGTCTGTCTTGTACGCTCTCAAAAACAACACTAGATACTATATTCAAATCTAATTAAATAAATAATTTATTTAAAGGTACATACTATAAGTGATCATGCGTTGATGTATAAACTATTTACATAAAGTAAAAAAAGAATCAAACTATTTTTATATAAGTTATAAGTTGTTTTGATTAGTTATTTTGTAACGCTTATGCAAATATGTTGAGAAAACATCTACAACAACTATGTTATAAACATCTATAAACTATCCCAAACAGTCTCAAAAGTAATTATACTACTAAATAAGCTTAAGTAAGCCAATTCAAACAAGCTCAAATAAGTATATCATGCATCAAGTTATGTCAAAATAGAAATGTAGGACAATTAATCACCCTTCTAACATGGTATTTATGAATGAATGATTAAACAAAACAACACCATTCTGTGCTATATAAACATGCATATCAACTACTAAGCACCACTGTAGATCAACCAAATATTACAAAACCCAATTGGAAACATAATTAGCCATTACTTACTATACAATTACAGCAATGTATAATACAGAAATAGTAACAAAAGAAAAAGAAATATAACATACAGGAGTTTTGACAGCTCCAACAGTGGAGACTGAAGCAGCCATGATAAGTGGTTTGATTGGTGTAGCACAAAAGAGGAAGGTAGTTGAAGTTGAAGCAAATTATTCTATGCAAGTTTGTGATCAAATTTGAGGGACTTATAATAGCTGATTAATTGATAGGGTGTAACAACAGGATTGGTCACAGAAACCATAATGTCCACACAATGAAGATTACTAAGCTGCCACGTGGCAACCATAGATTGCATGGATTTCATAGTCACTCTTAAGCAATGACCTTGAGGTTGTAATTGAAGGTTTTTCCAGCTCCACATGTATTAAGGAGAGTTTGTTACCACCACACAAGACTTGGATAGGACTCATCTCATCTCATCTCATCTTATTAAAGGAAAAATCAAGCAACGGTTATTGTCATTTTACACTAAAAATCAAAACATCAGTTTCTTCTAGTTTGGTCACTGGCCAATAGTATTATTGCAATTTTCAAGCTCTCTATTTTGATTTTGATTAAATTGTTAAGAGTGTTTTCTGGTGGAAAAATTTGGAGTTATATAGTAAATTGAAAAAGAGTTATAGAAATAGGAAATTAATTAGGAAATTTAAGACAATTTCATGATTTAAAGGGATTGGACCTCATCAATCTCTTTCTCATTGTCTCAATTACATTTTTATATCGCTCTAGGTTATTATTATTTTCATCATAAGGCAATTCAAGAAAGTTTATAACTTTCTGTGCTATGCTTCATAAAAACAAGATCAATTGCTCACCCTAACTAAGGTTAACATCATGATAAACATTTTTGTATTCACTCAGATGCATCCAAGTCATTCCTAAACGAGACATCTGCATTTTTGACATACTTTTGTCCGAAAATGCATCTTTATTATCACTTTATATACGCCTCAATAATTCTTAACTAAAACACCCTATTTTTGATATAATTTAGTATGAAAATGCATCTTTGTATCAAAATATAGATATCCACTACTCAACTATATACAACATCCCTATATTTCTGTAAAAATAATACACTTATTTTATTGACAAATTTCATTATTTATTTAATAACTTATTTCATCTATGAAGTGACATTTTAATTAAATATATATATTTTTCATGTTTTAATTATTTATTTTATATCTTGATAAATT